GTAAGGACCTACCAGTAATTTCAGCTGGCAGTAAATTGTGAAAATGATAGGGCAAAAAAAGGAAAGGCTGATAGATCTGCAAATTAAAAAAAAGTAACAAAAATAGTCTGCCACCTCAAAAGTGGCATCTTGAACATATTATCTCTTTGTTTATTTAATCAATCTTTACAGTTCTATTATCAGCACAACCCTTTGTATGCATATTTGGAAGTAAATTCTATGAGTTCCCTGAGTTTTATCCCTAATTATGTGTACATAAGATTTAGGTGAAATTGTTAAATTAAAGACATCATGTACCTAATTAGTTTTGTTAGCCAATTGTTAACTACAAATGATTTCACATATTTGAACTGACAGTTGTTTACTATTGTATATAAGAAAATATTATAGCTTCATGCTGCGGCTCAATCATAAATAATCTCAATCAAAGCCTGTGACTTCAATATCTATTGAAAACATACACAGTGAACTATATTTTTATTATAAGATTTACAAGTACGGTTTATTGTCCTTTTGCCTATTTCTTTTTTTAAGCCCTACCCGCAAAAAATAAAATTAAAAGATGTCATGTAGAAAGTGTCAGCATAAAGGTAAATTCATTGTTTTGAAGCTTGGAAAAAAATGCTTTGAATCTGTCAAGGTGATGAATAATCTAATATACTATTATGCTTCCAAATTTTAATTGTTGGATAATGTTTTTAGTAATGTTTTACTGGATTGCTTTATAGGGTTATGCACATTCATTTCTGCATTCCAAATTTGCCATTTGCCAAGGTGTTTTTTATTTCTTTAGCTGAACGTTTTATTCAAAACATTTATCCAGTTTAGAATACTAAAGGATTGGCCATGTATAGAATCATTGTTTTGAGATGGGAAACCATATAGTTAATCTAAATATGATGTAAGGCAATTTTAGCATACTGAAAGTCTAATTATAAAGTAATATAAGTAGTGCAAATATTGATATTTATGGACTAAATCAGCTGTTGAAATATAATCCTATTGTAAATTGCACAGAAAGTAAAAATAAAACAGGCAAATAGTTCTTTAGGCAACATTCTCCCCACAAAGGCTAGTAAAAAAAATTGGGTTTTTTGTGTAAATTATGATGTTAGACAGTTGAAACTTGCTTTTTAAAGTACAAAGTAATGAATATATTTTGTATTTAAATTTTATAAGGAAAAAGCTGTCATTCCCTCTTCTTTTCTTTTCTCTTTCCTCCCTCTGTGCAAGAAACTCTTCTGAAAATATGTGGCTTTCAGCCTTTTGCTTAGTATCCCCATTCAGCCTTTTTATGTTAACCTGCTATAATTACATAAATGAAATTTATTTCCTTGGAGGCAGACTATTAAACATATTGGTAACTGCTACTGCCTTCAACTTCAGGTAAAATAGAACTTTAGGCTGTTTGTTGGCCTTCAAACTCTGCAAGGGAGACGATTTCATATAAAAGTTTCTAGATATCTAGAATCAAAAGACAAGTTTACAGACATGGACTCAGAGTGCCTGACACCATTTTATTTTTCAGTATGTGTTTAGAAATCTTTCTGAATAATTACATGTTTTAGAAGCATGTGGTGCTTATCAAGAAAGTAGGCACCTCTATATTTATAAATGTACTTTGAATCTTCTTCCGTACCCATAATACTAAACATCACTTTATCCATAATAAACCTACCAGAAGTCTTACAAGATAGTCGAGTAGTTGTCACTCCTTTAAATGTAAACAATAAAACCATATAAGAAATTAAAAGTATCATATGTTTGTACTTTTTGCAATTTGTAATTTAACTAGTTTATTTAAGTAGGAATATGAAGACAGCCCTTAGAAAGTAATCTTTTAAATTATATTGGCATCAGAATATTTGTACTAAATCTATATAATATTGAGTATCATATCATTAGGTTCTTATGTTTCACATCTTGTTATTTTTAAAAAATTGAGAGAATTGGCTTTAGAAATATTGCAATCAAAAATCTCAAAAGAGAAATAAAAATATTTTATAAACTTCTCTTCTTCCTTCTCGTCCTCTTCCTCCTCTAATTCAAAGCAGTGATCATGTATAGAATATATACAGAACTAGTAGGATTTAAAGTAACATAATTGTGTCCACTTTTGAATTATCATAGATTAGTTGACCTAACATTTTATATTTTGTGTCATCTGCAAACTGTTGAGGATCAAACCTCGCATACATGGATGCTGTATTTTGGTTATGTGTAGATTTAATACTTATACAGAAAGTTTATTCAAAAAATAGAGGAAGCTTTTATTTAAAGCTCTAAAAATTTTACAGTAAAGCAATGAGATTATATGAACAACATGTTTTTCTTTTGTGGCAGAGAAATGTATTGTTTTCTGTGTAATTCCTAGAGTAAAACTCTGGAAGGGGACTTTACAATTTTTATAAATGAAATAAAATCTGTTAGACACACAAGAATTACTCACTGGTGTAGGGAGGGAGGATTACTTTTGTTGGTTGAAAGGTCTTGTCTTCCACCTCTAAAATAAATAAATACTAAATACATAAAATCATACTGCCATAGAGTAATAGTTACATTCCCTTAGGATTTCATCAGTTAATTCTAGCGCTTCCAAATTGTAGAAATAAAATAATGCAAACTTCCATCAAATCACTGAAATATTAGAAGAGAATGCTATTTTTGCATTATTTTTCAGTTTTTTAACTAAATTATTCAATCTCCGTTCTATTTTGGTTTATATAAAAATTAGGTTCCCTAACCTATGGTCTCAACTAAATAGGCCAGTCTGATAATGAAATGGACTGGCAAAGAAAAGATATTCTGCTGTCTAGCTAATATCTTTTTTTGTCAGTCTCAAAATATAGCAATAAAAATTCATTTTTATTGAAGAAAATAATTGGAATCCTCCTAATTGTACTGCTATTAAATGGGTATTATAGAAAGGCATTCTGCCTGGTCCACCAGATCTGACAGGATAGATACACTCTGGTGATCCTTTTTCTTACAATAATGGGTCCAAGGAGGCATATGTTCTCTGTCACGACATCTGTCTCCTCCCCAAGATTTGGATAACTCAACCTTCTTGATATTTCAGAAGGCTGTTTTTCCCCAAGCCTTATAGAACACTGGGTTAGAGATCATAGCATGCTAGGTGATTTGTTTATTTTATGGAACTGGAACAAACTATGCTATGTTTATTTGTTTGGTTTTTCTATCATACTTTACTATTTTAATGGATTACAGATATTATATTGGTTTTGTATATATTGTTTGCCATCTAGAGTTATGTACCTTAGATGCATGGCTGTATACATTTTCTAAATGTATAAATTGCTTTGAGGAAACAAGCATCAAAATTGCTTGAGTATGGATAAGGCGTGATGTAAAAATGGAAGTTAATCAAGTATTAAAACATTTATATCTGCTTAATAAAATGGTAATTTGTACAATTAGTTGCCTCGTATGACAAACCAATATTTAATCTACATTTGTAAAAATATAGATTAAGGACCTCTACTTTGAAGTTGGTGCCATCAAAGTCAATGACACTTGTATAATACATAGATGATAGTATTAATAATACATATTCTGCAGTCAGAAGAATAACAACATTCAATTTTCCATTTTAATTGTTTATTTTTAATAGAATATAATTGTTTCATAATACCATTAATATTAACATTAGTTTTACCCTGAACTTTTATTTTTTCAAAAACTAGAAAAGTTGAATGATCCAATTCTAATTCAAGGTGAAAGGTTAGTTCTAAGGCATCATCTGCCTAAGAGCTTAACTTTCAACCAATGAATTTAATGAAAATCTGTTTTGCAGATGTTGTTTTAATGTCTTTGGCAGAATTTGGTCTGCTTAAACCTGAGACACAAACTAGTAAACTTTATTTTTATTTGACCAGAGCAACACCTTTTCTTTCATGTTTTATAGTAAAAAAACATGTGGCCCATGGAATTCTGGAAGAAAACTCAAAACAAAAAGTGTTGATGATCTTTCCATAAGTATTTAGAAACACACTATTTTTATGTCTATTGCTACTGGTAGCTGAGGGAACAAAGCTGTATTCATTGCTACTAAGCATGTTTTGCTTTGATCCTTTAGAGGAAATTTCAGCTAGAATTGTCCTTGAAAAATACTTGCTTCTCATTTGCCTAAGGCAGAAGTAATCGCATTCCAAAACGATAATCAAGATCACACTAAATAATTATTGGTTATTTTTGAGAAAGTGTGCACTTGTATGTATGGCAAAGCTGTGGTTTGTAAGCCATATGCCTTCCCAGCAGCTCTAATACAAGCAACTACTTGCTTGCCAAGAAAGTGAATGGAATTTATTAAAGGCCTTGTCTATAATGCAGACCGCTGAACTTCTACGTGGCATATGGTATCATCCACCTGCACAGAAGCAGTAAGAAAACTTACAACAGGCACTCATATACTCTCTCGATATAATATAATATCATTTTTAATTGATTAGCAAATACTGATCAATTATGACCAGTATTATTCTTAACTTGCATATTTTGATTACTTGAGGAATGAAAAAATGTAAATTTTGTGATTTTAATGGGAAGCTATGAATTAAGACTTCTAATTTTTAATGGAGGCAATTTAAATGATAACACCATTACACCAGCATAGAATTTAATGGTAATATGCATAGAAAAATATGTGATATGGCTCTTTGACCATATCAGGAATGTTTGGTCCTGTAAAAATTATAACATATCAGTAAACCTATTTATTTATTATTTGTTAAAAGTATGTATAAATCACTAGCATAAGCTCCCCAGTTGGTAAGATTTCTCTGAGTTAATTTAGCATCACCATAGTAATAGAGAGAAAAATATATCACAGTATCAATCTTAGCCTAGGGAGAACTTATTCATCACAGAAGTCAGTTTTCGCTATACATACTTCCAAAACTATTAAATCTTTCTCCGTCTTTTAATCCCCCAACTCCAAGGAGGCAACATTTGCCTTTAACCTTTCTGGCCGTGGTATCCAG